TGCAATTTATGTTGTGTCACCGAGGGAATCTCACGGATCCGAGTTAGATTCGATCGACTCGCGAGAATTCCCCAGGAGGTTACAGGGTTAAACCACGCGTGCTGGCCGCTCGGCCACGAAAAAACGTGACGGCGACGACGGCGGCGGAGGGTCCGCCCGATCTCGTGAAGCCCGAAAACCGTGATTCGTGACCGAGCCCTTTCTCCGGTCCCTGTCTCGTCCTTCGAGACTTTACTCCACCGGCAGATCCCGGCGGAGATAATCACGCGATTCCGGATCTCGGATATCTCGCCGCTCACGAATCTCGCGCGAACCCGCAATCCGTCGTCTGCGTTCTCCTCGCTCGATCTGCCAAAATCGACGTTACGATTCGATGTTTTCTTCCCTCCTCCATGCGAACAACGATATGTAACCCCCTCGAAATTAACAACACCAGCAAGTCGCACCTTCCATTTCGCGTATGCGCTCGACACTTCTTACCTTGTCCGAGCGTTCACGACCGTGTAGAACGTTTCCGTTCTCCTGAACTGGTTTAATCTCGAGCTGTGCGGCGCGGTACAGCGCTCGGTGCATCGTGGTGGTGCAACGAGAGGAGCGCGAGGGCGCGATTACCGTGGGCGTATCCGCGAAGTTAACGCGGTGTCCGGCGATCCGGCTACTTGAGTAGCGACTCCGCGTGCCGAGGAACAGGTAGAGTCGGGGCGAGCGAGCAAGCCGCAGCTAAACCGCCGCATCTACGAACGGAAACCAAAATCTAAGCTGAGCACCTCGTCTCGTCTCACGGAGAGACTTATTTCTATAAAAAAAGAAGAGAGAATCTATAATGAGAATATATAAATTTGCCTATCACACACACTCTGTTTTTCTCTCTCTCTGACTTATCGTCGACGAAAATACACGTATCTTTGCATCCGAGAAGGCTAAGAAACACGTTCCTTGCCAGCGCGCAATATACTATTCAGGAAAGTTTGACACGGATGTATGTGGCGTTTGACACGAATGCAACGAGTGCAGCGCGGCTACATTCTTGTCGCTCGCGACCCAATTATCGTCGCGACGTTCGTGTTCGCGTTCGCGCGCGACTCGAGGCGAGGAAGGCAATGAGAGCGTGAATACCGAGCTTGTGAACCAGTTCCGAAGCTGGGAAAATCTCTCGATGAGGCGTTAACGCCCGCAGATAAGGCGCACGAGACACGCGTTTTCGGCCGAAGTCGTCGCGGTAGAGGTTATGTCGGTCATAAACACGAGCAAGATAATGGGTCCTTTTCTCATAATCACGTTTAATTAGAAACAACAACGTGAGATCGAGAGAAAAAGACAGAGAGAGAGAGAGAGAGAGAGAGAGAGAGAGAGAGAGAGAGAGAGAGAGAGAGAGAGA